AAAATTGATAAGATTGTTATTATTCTAAAATTTAAGGATAAGACATAGGAAGTATTGTTTAGGCCTTAAAGGATGATTTGAGTAAAATTTCGAAGATTGTTAACAAATTTATTTTAGTAAAGATAGTCTTTGATTTATGTATTTTTGGAAGATCCATAAAAGTTAACATTATCATGCTCATCGTTGCAACTTCTGATGATCACAAATCCATCAAATTCTCCAATCTCATCATCTTATGGAAACTTGCCATGATCCACACAGAAATGTCCCACATTTTCCCTTTCTCAGCCAGCATTCTCATTTTTTTATTTTCTAAAGTAGAAGTAGAAGAACTAGGTAGTGACAAAAATTTTTGTTCAATCCTTTGACCCCCACTATTTTTATAATCAAATGGAAATTTATGTTCATGAAAAATAGCATCACCTTATTCAATTGTAATATTATCTTTGAGATTAAAAAATCTATAGGTTGTACTATTTGAAGCATAACCAAGAAAAGCACAAGTAGTAACTTTCTTAACCAACTTATTAATATTGGGATCCATTAGTCTCACAAAGGCTAGACAATCACAAACTCTTAGATATCCCAAACTTGGCTTGTGACATTTCCACAATTCAAAAGGTGTCAACTTAGACTTTTTGTGAGGCACGGGATTTAACACATAACAAGCAATCAAAATAGTTTCACCCCATAAATTTAAAGGTTCATGTGACTCATAAGCATGACATTAGTCAATTTAACCAAAGCTCTATTTTTCCTATCCGCTACACCATTAGATGAAGGAGAATAAGGAGGAGTAGTTTCATGAATTATTCTCAATGATCTAACAAAAGAGTTAAACACATTTGACTCATATTCATGGCCTCTATCACTTCTAATTCTTTTTATTTTTCTTCCGAACTGATTTTCAACTTCATGGAGATAAACATTAAAGTTTTCAAAAGCATCACTTCTATTTTTCATCAAGTAAACATATGTAAACTAAGAAGAATCATCAATGAAAGTGATAAAATATCTATTTCCTCCATGAGTTAAAATTGTTCCAAGTTCACAAATATCAGTATGAACTAACTCTAATAAATTAGTTTTTCTTTCAACTTGAATCTTATTGATTTTGTCTTTACTACAAGCATCATGCTTTTCAAAATTCTTTTTAATCATTGAAATTAATCCTAAACTACTCATGATTCCAACATAACAATCATTAATATGACACAAACGAGCATGCCAAAAATTAGTAGAAGAAATCATATAAACAGAAGTAGAAATTTTATTCATTTCAACATTCAGTTTGAACATCCCACCACAAGCATACCCCTTTCCCACAAATATCCTTTTTCACAATTACATATTGATCAGATTCAATAATCTGTTTAAAGCCTACTTTATTAAGAAGAAAACTAGACATCAATTTTTTTCTCATGGAAGGAGTATAAAGTACATCTTTCAAAGTTAATACCCTTCCAGAAGTAAAGCACAATTTGACATCTCCCGTTCCAAGCACTTGAGTAGTGGGTGAATCACCAAGCATGATGGTTTTGTGCTCCTCAAAATGAGTATATTTTTAACCAATCTTTGTCATAACAGTTTGCACCAAAATCAGTCCATCATCCATCAACACTTTCAACCATGTTTATATCGGTAATCATCACCATAAAAGGTTCTTCGGTAACATTTGCCTAAGGTGTAGGACCACGTTTCCGGAATTTGCAAAATCGAGTAATATGCCCACTCTTGCCACAAACAAAACACGGTCCCTTATCTTGAACTTGTTGATTTTGTGCTTGGTTATTTTTACCATTATTTTTCTTGGATTTTTTCTTCTTAGGCTTCAAAGAAGTATTTTTGTGAGATTCAGGAGTAGCATTATTTGAAGTAATTAAATTTACCTTTGTTGTGATGTTACTCTCTTCTGATTGTAAAGGTGCATTTTGGCCTCTTGCCTCCTCTTCCATACGGATTTTCACTACCAACGTTTTAAGAGAGGTTTCCCTTTTGTTTGTGGCACATAGTTTTTTAAAGTTCCTTCCAAGAAGGTGGAAGTTTATCTACTATGCCATAAATAAAAAAGTTATCTCCAATTTTGACCTCCTCGAACATGAGCTCTCCAAAAATCATTATAAAGTCTTGAGCTTGGTCTACCACTGATTTGTTGTCCACCATTTGGAAATGAAAAAATCTACTAGTCACATATTTTTTTGCTCCAACCTCTTCGGTATCATACTTACTCTACAATGCCTTTCAAATTTTTTTTGCACTAGAGTAATTAGTTCTATCATAATAATCATAAAAATTATCAGATAGACAATTAAGAATATAATACCGACACTTATAGGAATCACCATCATACTTTTCCACTTTTTCTAGATGAGAAATAGTTTCATCATCATTCATAGAGGTGATGTCAACTTTATTAGGATTCTTCACTTAACACATAAGACATTGAGAGGACTTAAGTAGAAAAGTACTTTACCCTTCCATCTCTTGAAATGATTACCATTGAACCGAAATGGCTTGTTGAGATCTCCCATCTTGACATCCGCGGTTTTTTCAATTGTCTCCTTAAAATTGTTAGTGAAAAATTACAATATAACAAAATTACAGGATTACAATCGAAAATAAAGTGAAGAAATTAAAAAATCTTTAGGCTGAGGTGCGGATATTTTGTTCTCTTTAAGGAGATTCAAGTCCACTACAATAAATGTTTTTCACCGGTCAAGCAATAGTCCTTCTTGACTTGTCCCTTCTAGGATACAATAGTCTAATCATAAAGTGTAACTCAACAAACTCTAGACAAGAGTTGAGTCCAAAGCTCCACAAAAAGAACACCTCCCTTCAACTAATAAGAACTCTCTCTTTTGACTAACTTTTATCCACTCTATCTTTTCTTGTATGCACCAAACCAAATGAAGACCATCACTATTGATAGTTGAGAAAGTCATCCTAACAATGAATAGGAAGCTAGTGGGGTAGTAAATAGTGAAGATAAATGGTCTAGGAGCAGCGATGGAGCCAAGATTTTCAATAAGGGGGTTCAAAATCTGTAGAAATAGACACACAAAGTAGCCGAAGGGGGTTCGACATCTACTATATATACACAAAAAAATATTTCAACCATGTATAAATAATATAATTTTCCGCCGAAGGGGGTTCGACGAACCCCCTTAGTACAAGGTGGCTCCGCCCCTGCCTAAGAGTTACATATGTTACAAGGTATAATGGAGGAATAAAGAATGAAATAATTGAGAAATAATATGGAGAAGTAATGGCCAAGATGCCACTACCAATGCTGCAAGAAAAGAGTCATAACACCAGCACTTACTCCAAATGGTGTAATGCTCCAAATAAATGTCCAACGGTTAAGACAAAAGAATTATCACCAACGGACAATTTACAGCAAAGGCAACACTTTGACTCCACAGTTTTAAGCAAATTAATATACACAAATATTAATATTAAAATGCTGACCAACACAAAGAAGATTTGGAGCTCCTCTATTGGTATAAAGAAGGATACAATTGGATAAAGATGTATGGTCAGTAGTTGTGACTTAAATAAGGTAACCTCTTAAAGTGAATGAGCTTCAGTTACTATTCTCAAAAAAAAAACAAGTGAATGGTCTATGTTTCAATTGTTTTCCTTTTTTATGTATTTACTTTGACTGATAGTGTTATTTCACCAAAGGGTGTGGCCTAATGATTAATGAAGTTGGTAGATATCTTGGAGACCAAGGTTCAAATTCCAAGATGGAAAAAGCTAGGTGATCTCTTCCAATCTGCCTATGCCTTGGTGTCTTGAGTTATCCAGTGCCTGTGTAAGTGGGAGGTAGCAGGTATCCCTGGAATAGTCAAGTGGGAGCAAGCTAGTTCAAAATTACTGTTTTAGAAAAAAAGAACTGATATTTTTATCAAAGTAAACTGATACCGGTAAGAAGGTTAATCTACGTAGCAGGTATTCCTGGAATAGATATGCTAGCTCTGTTTGTCCCTGTAGTTTAGCGGACTGAATTTTTATTCAGACCGCGATATGTCAGGGCCTCTAGGCACTACTAAATAATATTGAAATTCAATGGTGTTCAAGCCATCAAACTGATTATTTGACCTTTTTTCTATTGAAGTTTTTGGTCATTTCTCTAGAGTTTTTCCACTTTGTTCAAATTCATCTAACTTCGTGTATTGATCAGTAACAATCAAATGTTATTTTAGAGTTTTAGAGAGGTAAACAATTGATAAGCTAACAGATTTTTTTAATTAATTAGAACAATGAAAGAAATTAGTGTAACTAGTGAAAACTAGAAGTAAGAAAATTCTACTTATCATGGAACCGCGATCAGGCTGAGTTTAAAATTAGAAGTTTATGAATTTTTATATTGTATGAAATTAATATACAATGACAAATGTATTTACAGTCACATATATATAGTTATTTATGTATTTCTTAATACATATACGAAACCTAGGCTACTGGTTTCTATGAATCCATACATTATTACTACATTCAATATGTGATACGTGTAAAAAATATTGAACTTAGTTGGACGCATCAATTATAAGCTGCCTATGGTGTATGTACCTAATGGATGTTAACCAGAAAAACATTAATTCTAAAGCTTGAAAGAAACTCTAAAGTAATCACCTTCTATTTTGACATTTCGTAGATTTTGTGAGTGTTACCGAGTTATTACGTACACACCAAAATGAAGATTTGGTAAAAGCTAAAAAGTGAATACTTATTCTCTCTTCAATTAAATAAAATTAGTTAATTCTTATGAGATTTGCCAGCATAACATATATGCTTGTGACAGGTTCAGACTACAATGTAATTTAGGTCATCTACATTGACTTTTGAAGTATAAGGTAATTAGTTTGATGAGAAATTCAACTACTCAGGTCCCTGTCTAACAAACAAAATCCTACAAGTCCTTGTTGCAGCATGCATTCTTAAAAACCTATATAAACCCAATCCCACATCCACTCTTATATATACACATTATTCTTTAATCTTCTAAGATTTGCAGATAAATGGCTCAACATTACCACTTATCTTCTCTTTCACTACTTACATTTCTCAATTTATTCTTCATTTATGGCAACATAACTGGAGCAACTGCACGACACCTTCTAGGGACGCCCCTCCCTGAGATACCTAAACCAGAACTCCCCAAAGTGCCAGCGTTGCCAAAGCCTGAAATCCCAACTGTGCCGAAACCTGAGTTTCCAACCATACCAAAGCCTGAGATACCAACTTTCCCGAAGCCCCAATTACCAACTTTGCCAAAGCCTAAGATGCCTGAGATTCCCCCAATGCCAAAACTAGAGTTTCCTCCCTTGAAAAAGTCAGAAATCCCAGCAGTGCCAAAGACTGAGGTTCCTCCGGCTATGAAAAAACCTGAAGTTCCAACTTTACCGAAGCCCGAGCTACCGAGTGTGCCAAAGCCAGAAATTCCAAAACTACCAAAGCCAAAGGTCCTAGAACTTCCAAAGCCAGAAGTACCAACTATGCCGAAGCCTAAAATCCCAGAATTACCAAAGCCAAAAGCCCCCAAGCTTCCAAAGCAAAAAGTCCCAACAATGCCAAAGCCAGAAGAACTAACTATGCCAAACAATGAAATCCCAAAACTACCAAAGCCTGAAGTACCAAAAATGCCAATGCCTGAAATCCCAGAAGTACCAAAGCCAAAAGTCCCAGAACTTCCGAAGCTAGAAGTACCAACTATCCCAAAGCCTGAAATCCCAGAACTACCAAAGCCAAAAGTCTCTGAGCTTCCAAAGCTAAAAGTTCCAACAATGCCAAAGCCTGAAATTCCAGAACTGCCTAAACCAACTCTTCCTTCACTTTCTCCACCATACAAACCCGCTACTCCTTGAGTAAATTATATGCTACTTTCATTCTATAAGAAAGTACCCAACTGATGTTTTGAGATTTCCATCTCAGTCTATGAAATTTGCCACCCGAGTTGTGTCATTGAGATAGCATTGGATACTTTCTGCTAGGAGTAGAAATTTTAATTCTTTTATAATAGTTTTTGAATTGGATGTACCGAGTTTGTCGTGTTATTATAATATATGAGTGTTTTATGCATTTCTATATATACAATATGATAAAGCTTTGATATATGTAACTTTGGTTTAGTTCCTATCCTTGACCGTCTCTGTTTGTCCATTCTTTCCCTCACAGTTTTTCCTTCCTAATTTATAGTAACCAATTTCTTCCATTACAGAGTAATCAGATACATACAGATGCCATACCCAATTAAAAATAGTAGACTTTGACAATCACATAGATAAATTATGTATTAGAAGAATGTCTTTGCAGGAGAAATTAGGGTGCACCCTTGAGTTTCTTGGCGATGGCAGCGATGTATTTACCTTGGTGATGTGCCTGCTGCAATTCAAGCTCAGATGGCTGTCTGGAGCCATCACCAGTGAATGTTCCAGCTCCATATGGACTTCCTCCTTTCACGTTTTCCATTTCAAACATGCCAGCACCGAATGTGTATCCGATGGGTACAAATATCATTCCATGATGAACAAGCTGAGTTATAGCAGTCAACCTATCATATACCTCGGGTTAAAACAATAACAAGGAAGAGAACGACAATTTATCATGTTTAGTCGTATGAATTTATGTGAAATAAGATCATACGGTGTTGTTTCTTGTCCACCGCCTTGGGATCCAGTGCTATAGAATATGCCTGCAGGCTTGCCAGCTAGTTGTTGTGTTCTCCATAGACCTCCAGTTGCATCAAGGAATGCTTTAAACTGAGCGGACAATATTCCGAACCTTGTAGGGAATCCAAAAACAAAACCATCAGCTTCAGCAAGTTCTTGAGGTGTTATAATAGGCACATCACTCTTTGGAGGTGCACTCATTTTCGCTAGCACCTCTTCTGACAATGTTTCAGGTACCTGTACCACAAAATGGTATGTTCTCTTTTAGTATATATAAGTGCCACAAAACAGAGTGGACCTAACATTTTTAGTGTAGAACCAAACTGGTGATTTCTGCATATGAGAACATAGTAATGGAGAAGGTAATAGCCAAAATACGATTCGTTTTGGCTAGAGAGCCCAAATCAGCTATATAATTGACTCGGGTTTGCCGTAATGCTAAAACTATGGCGAATGCATCTATCGTCATTGATGCATAAATAAAGATACCAATTAGTAGTGATTGAATTCCTTCTAACCTTCTCCAAAAGAATGATAAGGACAACTTATGCTTCATGCATGATCAGTTAGCTGGTGCAACTACACGAGCCGCTTTCTATAGACGCCATTCCCTGAGATCCCTACACAAGAATCCCCAAATATTCCAGCCTTACCAAAGCCTGAAATACCAATACCTGAAGTATTAATTATACCAAACCTAAAATTTCAGTGTTCCAAAGCTATATGTATCCGGGGCGTAAGCAAGATTTTTTGTAAGTGTGTCCATATTTAAAGGAGCAAACAAAGAACAAATCTTGTAGCGACATTATATTAAAAATATTAGTTTATTGCTATAATTTTCGTCGGCGAGATCTCATTTTTTAAAATGTATTCATAACAGTATACATATTTTTTAATCATAATAGTCTCGTTAGAAATAGTTGTATAAGGTAAAAACACCAAACAACCACTTAAGAACTCATTATTCATTTGATTTTACAAATCAATCTTAATCAACTTCATCACCGAAAAAGCAATACGCCAAGTCTCAAGTAATTGGAGCGAGTAGTTTTCAGAATTAGGTTTTTATATGAGCTGAAATAATTGAATCCCGGTAGTGTTTATAGTTATTTATTATTCTTTTCATACACAAAAGTTGATGTGTTCAAGCAGTAAAACTTTAAAAAAAAAATGAAAGATACTAAGTAACTGTCAAAAATTGCAGTAATTATGTAGACACCTGAATGAAGATTTGCGGTAAAAAAGTGAATACTTTTTCTCTTTTCAAAGAAATGAAATCAGCTAAGCTAAGAATTCTTATCAGGTTTCCAGCATAACCTATATGCAAGAGACGGGTTTAGACTATTAAGTAATTTAGGTCATCTAAATTGACTTTTCAAGTACCAGTCTGGAAGCTGATTAGTTTGATGAGAAATTCAACTACTCGGGTCCATGGCTAACAAACAGAAATACAGAATCCTGAAAGTCCTTGTAATTGCATACTTGAAAACTATATAAAGCAACAGACTTAAAGTTAATGCCACATCCCAATCACATCGAGTCCTACAAATTATTCTTCTTTTTGCTTCAACTATCTGCATAAAAATGGGTCAGCATTACAACGTATCCTCCCTCTTACTACTTGCATTTCTTAATTTATTCTTCATTTATGGCAACATAACTGGTGCGGTTGCACGCCACCTCCTAGAGACGCCCGTCCCTGAGATACCTAAACCAGAACTACCAAAGGTTCCAGCCTTGCCAAAACTTGAAATCCCAACTCTGCCGAAGCCTGGGCTTCCAACCAAACCATAGCCTGAGATCCCCATTGTTCCAACGCCCAAGCTACCAACTTTCCCTAAGCCTGAGTTACCAACTTTGCCAAAGCCTAAGCTGCCAGCTATGCCAAAGCCTGAATTACCGACTTTGCAAAAGCCTGAGATTCCAGTTGTGCCAAAACCCATGCTTCCAGCTATACCAAAGCCTAAGATTCCAACAATGCCAAAACTCGAGTTTCCTTCTTTGAAAAAGCCAGAAGTACCAACTATGCCAAAGCCTGAAATCCCAGAACTGCCAAAGCCAAAAGCCCTAGAGCTTCCAAAGCCAAAAGTACCAACTATGCCAAAGCCTGAAGTCCAAGAACTACCAAAGCCAAAACCCCAGAGCTTCCAAAGCTAAAAGTCCCAACTACGCCAAAGCCTGAAATCCCAGAACCACCAAAGCCAAAAGTCCCAGAATTACTAACTATGTCAAAGCTTGAAATCCCAGAACTACCAAAGCCAAAAGTCCCTGAGCTTCCAAAGATAAAAGTCCCAACTATGACAAAATCTGAAATTCCAGAACTACCAAAGCCAAAAGTCCCTGAACATCCAAAGCTAGAAGTACCAACTATGCCAAAGACTAAAATCCCAGAACTACCAAAGCCAGAATTACCAACTATGCCAAAGTCTAAAATCTCAGAACTACCAAACCCAAGAGTCCCCGAGTTTCCAAATCTAAAAGTCCCAACTATGCCAAAGCCTTGAATTCCAGAACTACCTAAACCAACTCTTCCTTCACTTTCTCCACCATACAAACCTGTTACTCCTTGAGTAAATTATGTGCTACTTTCACTCTATAAGAAAGTACCCAACTCATGTTTTGAGATTTCCATCTCAGTCTATGAAATTTGCCACCCGAGTTGTGTCATGGAGATAGCATTGGATACTTTCTGCTAGGAGTAGAAATTTTAATTCTTTTATAGTATTTGAATTGGATGTACCATTTGACGTGTCATTATGCTATATGAGTGTTTTATGTTCTTCGTTATAAATAAGCTATGATCTATGTTATTTTGATTTAGTTTGTATCATTGGCAAGTTCTGTTTTTTCTCAATCCTTATTCGTACACTCTTTCCCTCTCGGTATTTTCTTTCCTAATTTATAGTAACCAAAATTTCCCATTGCATCTTAAGAGTATATATATGGAACAAAGAATGAATTGGCATATTTAAGTGTAGAACTAAATTGATGATTTAGGTATTTTTACTTTTTGTTTCGTTTATCCTAACGCATATTAAATGGATTCAGTTACCTCTATTTCGCCTGCTCTAAAAGTGTTCCTTTGTACAACAAAAGTTGTTGTGGCTAACTGATTCAGTATAATTTTTCCTTACAAAAGGTAGAAAGTCGTATCGATTCTACCAGGCATCACTTTTTTATCAAACAATAAAACTCTAAATTTTAAAAATGGCAGTTATTGAGTAACTGTGCTAAGTTTGCTAGCAAAGTTAGGTGCTTTGCCAGTGAACCAATAGGCTACGGGAAGTGATTTCATTTGTTTTTATTTATAATTGAAATATTTTATTTTACATATATGTATTTATTAAAATTTTGGATGCCCTTCATCCTATCTAAATCCGCCCCTGTATGCAATGCAACAGTCCTTTTATATGAATCTGATATACTATTCTTTCAGTATTGACTTCTTCTTTTTCATTTCTTGGAGAATTGTATTGACATTTGTGGTATATTGTGAATCCAGGACTTCTCTCTTCTCAAGAAAATAAAATATAAGCTACTCTATCCGGTCCAAAACCTGTATTACCAACTTTACCAAAGCTTGATTTCCCAACTGTCCCAAAACCAGAGCTTCCTGCTATGCCAATGTTTGATATTCCAGCAATGCTAAAACCCAAGCTTCCTCCCTTGAAAAAGCCAGAAATCCCACAACTACCAAAGCCAAAAGTTCCAGAGATTCTAAAGACTGAAATCCCAAAAATGCCTGAACCAACTTTTCCTTCACTTTCTCCACCATACTACTCCTTGAGCAAATTATATTCTATTCACTCAATTAGTAAGCACTTGTTAGAATACTGACCCCATATTTGCCTAAGGACCTGGTATATTGTATCTGTTCCTTTGAAGATCACAGCAGTTACATTATGTAAAGCAAATAAAGTAATGACACAATATTTTATCGCGAAAAACCCCGGCTCATAAAGGGTAAAAAACCACGACCTACACCTCTGTAGGATTTAACTCTACTTCATTAAACTCTAAGCCTCAACAAAAGATTACAAACCTATGTAACCTAAGGAATTATAAACTCTAATTCCTAGACGCCAACAACCAACTAGATCGTCAACCCCACTTCAATCTATGAATTTGAATTACAACTCTATAATCCCAGGAACTAACTCTAATTCCTAAACTCCAATACAAACCCTCCTATGTTTATGTTCCCAAGTCTTTAAGTCTCCCCAACTTGAAGACTCTATTCCTACTCCAGTTTATACTTCACTGGATCTAGAAAGAATTAAAGATACAACTCGATAAAAACTCAATACACGCAAACTTGACTTAAGAACTATAAAACATAAGCCTATGAATCAGTTCTTCAATTCTTGTTTCCTTGCGTTGGCTACACTTCGTAATCAGAAATCACTCAAATATGAAATCCCTCTATTTGATTGTATTCTGCTTGTAACTCTTTGTTTAAGTGTGCAAGTTTCTCCAAAGAAAATATTGCCCTATTTATAGACTTTGAACTCTTCAAAGCCTTTTTCAACTTGAACTCGATTTACATTTCTGATCATGCTTCCTACTCTGTTTCGGATTTGAAAGTTATTTACGCCGTTATACTTCCTACTCTGCTTATGCTTCCTACTTCGTTTAGGCTTCCTACTTTGCTTACGCTTCCTACTTTGCTTAGGATTTCTTTATGAAAGGAAACCTTTTTGCACTGGTTTCTTGTCGAAAAAGCAACCCTTCCACCGCTTTATAACTTCTAATTCGTGTGGTTGACGTTCTCCTTATCCCAGTCGGATTCGGTCTGAAAGGAACATGTCGATGCAATAGGTTCCTTTTCTCTGTTCCTCTATTTGTCAATTATCAAAATCTTTCTCAATCTAACAGTACTCAACCGATGTTTAAAGATTTCCATCTCAGTACGTCTATCAAGTTTACGAGATGAGCTATGAGTTTGGTAAAACATATTGGATACTTTCTGCTAGGAGTAGAAATTTGCAATTCTTTTATACTATATGAGTGAGTGTTTTACTCTAGCTTAGTTCCAATATATCATTGGCCGGCCATGATCTCTATTTCTGCTCAATCCTTGTTTGTCGACTGAACCATTTTTTCCATCACATTTAGAAAAAGGCTCTATTTGGTTTCATCATGTAAAGGAAATTTGAAGTGCCTATGAAGAATTTATGTTTTATTGGTTCAATTTTTAAGATTTTTAACATTTAAATTATTCTATTTGTAAATTAAAAGTATGGATTGTGGCCTATTATTTATTTTGATTTTAGTGATATTTTTACACATAAACTCCGTGCCAAAATTACTAGGTTCATATGAATCTAGTATTTCGTGCTGCAATTGCCCCTTCCTGCTTAGTCACCCAGAAACTCATGATTTGTGTCACCAAAGGTGACTCCATTCCCGAAGCTCAAAGTTAAGACTGTCACCCGGAAACTCATGATTTGTGTCACCAAAGGTGACTCCATTCCCGAAGCTCAAAGTTAAGACGTCTAATTAAGGATTAATAAATATTTATTCTTTCCACATCTCTACCACAACGATTGATGATATTTTTGTAGTATCTACTCTTTCTGGCACTATTGTTCCATAAAAGCCTAATTTTGTCTGCAATCGATATAAGAATAGTTTATATGTTTGAAGTTATATTAGACTTTTTATTTCTTTAAATATGACGTCTCAAATGTTATCGCATTTTACTAAAATTATTACGTATTATTTTGTAATTGTAGATTGTTGATCAGAACTTTTAAGTATTCATATAATGTAATGTTTTCTCTATCAAATTAAATTATCTACAATAATTTTAATATTCTTAATAATCATATATATCATCATATATATAAGAGAGAACCTCAATTATTTTAATGTTCTTAATAATCATGTCATATATCATATATATAAAAAAGAGAACCCTAGGTCCGCCTACGTATCACCACAGACCAGAATTTCCTTTTAATTTATTTATTTCCAAAACTAGCCTTCACATTTCATGAAAAGTTGTGAATTTTATGAAAAGTTATGACTTTTAAGAAAAGTTGCAACTTTTATGAAGAGTTGTGACTTTTATGTAAGGTTGTGACGTTTATGAAAGGTTGTGACATTTCCCTTTACAAAGGGTTGTGACATTTCCAAAGAGTTGTGACCTTTCCGATAAGGTACAATAAGCATTTGTTCACACTGCCCTTTGTTGTCTAAAAATAGAGGGATTTCCTCTCATTTTAAAACAATGAAAATTCTGAACTTCTTCTTCTTCTGCACAATTAAATATTCATGTACTTTGCTCCTATTGAGTGGCTTACTGACACCATTGTTTTTGTATTAATACGTTGGTGAATAAAATCGTTCCATCCTAAGATGATCTAATTCTTTAAACCTTATGTATTAGAGGGGAATAATTTTCTTAAGGGGAAACTGCGCACTTAGTGGACTTGATTTTTTCCTTTCTATTTCATTCTAATTTTACATATCATGGTATTTTTACAGTTATTAATTTATGCTTATGATGTTAATTGTTGTTTTTGAGTAGATGTTTTAAACTCTGTTGTTTATGTTTCTGCAAAGTTATTGTCTCTAGTTATATTGAACATATACACATATAGTAGGTATATTCATTGTGCAGAAAATAATTACTGTACTCAGTTCCAAGAATTCATGTTTTGATATTCTATGACTTAAAAGTACTACATATAAGCTTACATATTATCTATTTTAACATAGATATGAAGTTTCGTCACTTATCAATTGAAGAAATTCATTATGATAGTTCAAAAGTTATAAATGCTTTCATGTTCAGGCGTAATTTCTTTTTTGAATCTGTTCACAAATTTTTGAATTTTTCCTGAGACACATATCACAATTGTATAATCTATGCAACTTTAATGTGTTCTTTTCTTACGAAATGTCTTTGTATATATATTCTTATTTTCTTCGTTACTTTCCTTTTAATATTGATTAAAGAACCAACAATTTATTATTTCCTGAATAATTCATCCATTAGAGGTTCTTGAGTTATGTGATAATGACAAATAATAAATTCATGTTGGAATACTGTTAATATTTTTAAGATCCTATTTTTATTTTTTAATGTATGGATATTAGTAAAGGATTATTTGCAAGTTCAATGCAATTATTATTTATGAATGTGCGAAGCGCAGGCAAATTACCTAGTTAACTTTTAAATCACACAAAATTATTTTCCTAATAAGAAATATTTTCACTAAAAATTGACATTATGAGGTAGGATCCATAAACTACATATATTTCAAAGTCATAACATCTAATTTAGTAAATATTTCACCCTTATTTAGTTTCATTCCTAAGTAGTTACTGCTACAACTAATAATTTTCTAATTCAAACTATTCAAAAATTTACAAAATATATTTTTTTCCTACAAATAAGAGTGTCGGACTTTTCTTCTTTTTTCTTCTCTGATTTATAAGGATAGATATTTATTTGAAAGGATCGGATATACTTATATATGGAGCACAAAATGATTTGAATTTAACTCAATTACTATAAATGGAAATGATAGTATCACAGTAAAATATATGTTTTCATTTAATAAATAATTAGTAAAACAATATGTAGTTAATTCAAGATCTTCTTGAATGTTTTTCATAAAATGAATAAACTTTCAACTTTTGTTTTTCCATGTCATGACCTAAAACTAAAGTCATGATGACACCTACAAAAATCCACGAGTAGGTAAGTCAACCCTCATCCTCAAATCAACTATAACGGGCCTAGGGAGCTTAAGGACTGAGCAAGAGAATAATAAGACACGTTTAAGGAAGAAACATTGAACAAAAGAGAACACAAACATATATATATGTGTGGGGGGGTGGTTGTTGTTCATTTTTCCATACTTCCTTATACTAATTTATCATTTCATAGCGTTTATAAGAGGAAGACTGTACAATAATGGACATGACTATTGTGAATGGACAAGCATAACTTTAAAAAACTTAGACTTATTTGTTCTTGATAGTGAAACTTGATTAACGGTAAAGATCCTCCATGACATTTCAGTGTAAATATCTTATTTTCATCATTTAGAGCATTCCTATAACGAACCCAAGTGATTTATGACATGTTGAGACTAATTGTTCAGTCAACTGGTCGTTCATTTTATTTTTGTGCAAGTTTATGTGCTTTGAAGATTTTGAAGCTTGAATGGCTGACTTCGGTCAAAAGTTCATAAAGACGACCTCAAAATGCAACTATGAGGGTTCCGTTAGCTCCGAAACATCAAGTTTGGCCTAGAATGATCTTTCGTGTGGATCTGGAGGCTTCAGGGCTAATTGGGACCCATTTTTTGTCAAGACGACCTTAGTTTGAAGCTTTAACTTCTCAGTTGAATTTGGTGGGGTTGCATATCTTGTTTGCATGCATGAGATTCCGAACCAATCCTGAGCACCCAAGTGAAGCCCCAGGGGCTAACCTAAAAGTTTTGTGCCTGATGTTGATGCCCCTACTTTTGTAGCCCTAGTATGGCATTAGTGGCCATGGTTCCACTTTAGCAGGTTAGGACATCCACGTGGCATCTGCTTTAGCATCCTTGGCTCGCTTAAGCAGGTAACACTTTAGCTGTCAAGGCTTCAGTTTAGCGAGTCTGGACATCTTAGGCCCTGTTGCTTAAGATACTTTCACTTTAGTGGCCAAGGTTTGCTTTAGCGCGGTCCTTCTGTCTTACCCTAGGTGCTTTCACGGAATTTGTGGATGCTTTTGCTGCACCTGCAACAGTATTAAGACTTGACACGATCAACTCTCACATAAAGTTTGTAATTTGAATATGAGAGTTGTGGGACTCTGAATTTGGTGATTCAAGGCTGGGTGTTATTGGGGAACACGGGGCAATGCGTTAGAGTACTTGGGGAGCATAGGGGAGAATCAGTTCGAGGTATTTTCAACCCCAAAGGGGCTGCCTATCCCTTGTCTTTAGCTTTAATGATGTTTTATGTTGCATGCTATTGTTTGCTACGTTCCAAAGCCCAAAATGTGTTCCATTTTGGGACAAAGGTTTAGGGAGGTAATTAAGACCTTTTGACAGAGTCGATTTTGGAATTTTCGGTGCGGGTCCCATATTTCACATTCTTACTCCAATTTAGGTATGTATCTATTATATGTAACTTTAGTGTCTAAACAACTGTATTAATGTTGTGATTCCATTCTTGATAGTGTGGTAGTGTTCAGAGGTTGTTCAGAATGGAACTGCTCCTAAGTCATGATTTGGATTGTGTGTGTGTTCTTCCTAAAGGTAGGATATGGCTTCCCTTTCCCCACTATTCAAAAATTTACAAAATATATTTTTTTCCTACAAATAAGAGTGTTAGACTTTTCTTCTTTTTTCTTCTCTGATTTATATAGATAGATATTAATTTGAAAGGATCGGATACACTTAGATATGGAGCACAAAATCATGATTTGAATTTAACTCAATTACTATAAATAGAAGTGATAGCATTAGAGTAAAATATATATTTTCATTTAATAAATAATTAGTAAAACAATATGTAGTTAGTTCAAGGAAATAACATACAGGAGCATAATCAAACATGTACTAGGCGTGGTACCAAGGCAAACTAGGTTTATTACCCGATCCAACCATGTAGTAGCCTGTACTAGGCGTGGTACCTGAGCCAACTTAATATATGTACCTGGTGAGGTACCCAAGCCAACCAATGGTCACACAACACACAATCAGAATCATAATCATAATGAACTACAGTAACACTTGTAAACACAAGTAAATTAAGCACCTTCATTGCATGTGATGGTGTACAAGGTATCACCTTACATTTATTTGATCTTCCTAACCATGCATTGCAGAAACAATATGATAAAAACAGTTATCATGCATACATTACATAACTTGGAAACAATAAATTATCACCTTTCTCGAATCAAGCCTTGAAAGCTCTACTGGACCTGAGTCTTTCCCTTGTTACAAATCCTAGCTAGCTTGTTATTGGTCTACAATTAACAAAACAGGTACAAGATTCAATCTCCAATGGCTTAATTATACTCATATTACAACTTAATCTCAACCCCAAGCCAAACTTATGATCTTCTCACCCAATCCAGGGCTTTTCCACCATTAATTCACCGAAAACTACCAATTCCATAGCTACATGAGTGAATAACAATAGATAAATCAAGAAAAACATTTAACAATTAACCCAAGGCTTTACAACCCAAAATCCTCAGTAACTCAGATCTTCCCACCTTAGGAACAAAACCAATGTATTCCCTAGAGTCCCTAATAGCACCTCAATGGCCTAGGGAATCAAAGTATGAAGTTGAAAATTGGATTACTTACATTTACGAAGGTTCTTGATGAAAAATGGCTGAAATTCGCCCTAATTAAGTTGCCCTTGTTCTTCCCCAAAACGTACTTTTCAAATAATTAGCAGCTTTGGGGAATTTTCTCCATTAATTGTGACCAATCCCACTAAAGAGGCTCAATCCCACTATAGTGGAATTGCTATACTGAGACCTCTGTAGCGGGAGTTAATTACACCACAAAAGTAGTGTGTCACCCACTATGGAAGTTTGCATGGGACAAAAACGCAAAAATACTCCAAAAAGTCTCCATTTTTCAACACACCTTCAAAAATTGACATCCCAGACCAACCTATTCATGCCAAGTTCGATAACGTCGAGTTCTACTCACCCCAATTCATTTATGAAAAGTCCTACAAATTCCTTAAGGTCATAGCTAATAGAACGACTAACCAAAGCTTATACATTTTACCCAATCCTTCCCTGAATTTCCCTGGACCTCACCTTTATCGAATTATGCATGAATCTAGTAATATAAGTACTTATATCAAGTGAACATTAAGATGCAATATTCAGTCAAACCAATGCCTTATAAAATAAGATTGATGGAGTTTATATTTTGATTTTAAAAATATTTAACAAAAGTGTAATGGTTTTTTTGTACAAGGAAGAACCAACATTGTCATCATTATCGTGATAGAGTGGTATGCGTGTCAAGTTAAACTATACTTGATTAAGATATATCGTGTCTCTCTTATATCAACTTATTATTTTGATTTGATTTCAAGAGAAAAACAACAAATAAAGAAAGGACATAAAATACATTGTAATTAACAATTTAAAGGTGATTAGTAAATATTAATCAAAAGTTTGATTCCTTAATAATCTCATATAAGCTAGTAAATCTGAGTATTCCTTTATTTTAGGGATATTCAAGATACTATGATATTGTTATTACAAGACAAATTCTAGATACTATAATATTTGCAGATGGCTCTCTTATATCCACTTTTTATTTTGATTTGATTTAAAGTAGACAAACAACAAATAAAGAAAGGACATAAAATACATTGTAATTAACAATTTAAAGGTGATTAGTAAATATTAATCAAAAGTTTGATTCCTTAATAATCTCATATAAGCTAGTAAATCTGAGTATTCCTTTATTTTAGGGATATTCAAGATACTATGATATTGCTATTACAAGACAAATTCTAGATACTATAATATTTGCAGATAAATAGGTCAACTAATGTATCAAATATTGAAATCCTCCTTTTTATATTCTTGTAAAAATCTATATATAGCTAAATGAAAAACTATTGGAATTTCAAAACTTCATTTGCTCTTAACACATGTTACTCTAAGCTTCTTGCATCTGTAGAAAAATGGCTTAGCATTCCAAATTGTCCTCCATCTTATTGCTTGGATTTATCTACTTTATACATGACCACATGATTACAACTATAACAACACGTCGCATTCTACAAACTCCTAGTTTCTCAACGCCCACTACCCTTAGTTTCTCAATGCCCACTACCCAAGTTTCTCCAATTCCCCCGGTCATTCAAAGCCCGCTACCGCAAGTTTCTCCAATTCCCCAGTCTTTCAAAGCCGGAGACTCCTAGTTTCTCAAAATCTGAGACCCCTCGTTTCTCAAAGCCCGAGACTCCTAGTTTCTTGAAACCTAAGACCCTTAGTTTCTCAAAGCCCGAAACTCCTAGTTTATCAAAACCCGAAACTCCTAGTTTCTCAAAGCCCGAGACACCTAGTTTTTCGAAGCCCGAAACTCCTAGTTTCTCTAAACCCGAAACTCCTAGTTTCTCAAAACCTAAGACCCCTAGTTTTTCAGAGCCAGTGACCCCTAGTTTCTCAAAACCTGAGACTCCTAGTTTCTCAATGAGACTCCTAGTTTCTCAAAACCTGAGACTCCTAGTTTCCCAAGGCTCAAAACTCCTACTTTCTCAAAACCTGAGACTCCTACTTTTTCAAAGCCTGAAACTCCTAGTTTCTTAAAGCCCGAGACCCGTAGTTCACAAAATCTTGAGACTCCTACTTTCTCAAAGACCGAGGCCCCTACTTTCTCAAAATCGGAGATCCCTACTTTGTCAAAGCCTGAGACTCCTACTTTCTCAAAGCCTGAAACCCCTAGTTTCTCAAAGCCCGAGACCCCTAGTTCCCAAAAGCTTAAGACTCCTACTTTTTCAAAGCCCGAGACTCCTACTTTCTCAAAACTGGAGACCCCTAGTTTCTCAAAACCTGAGACTCCTACTTCTCCAAACCCCGAAACCCCTACTTTGTCAAAACCCAAAACTCCTACTTTCTCAAATCCCGAGATCCCAACTTTTTCAAAGCCAAAGACCCCTAGTTTCTCAAAATCTGAGACTCCAACTTCTCAAAACCCGAGACTCCTAGTTCTTCAAAGGCCGAGACTCCTAATTCTCCAAATATCGAGGCCCCTAGTTTTTCAAAGCCTGAAACCCCTAGTTTCTCTAAACCCCAGACACCAACTTTCTCAAATCCTGAGACTCCGAGTTCCCTAAAGTCTGAGACCCGAACTTTCCAAAAGCCTGAAATCCCAAGTTCTCCAAAGCTCAAGACCCGAAGTTCTTCAAAGCCTGAGACCCCTAGTTTCTCAAAGCCCGAGACCCCTAGCTTCTCCAAGTCCGAAACTCCTAGTTCTTCAAAGCCTGAGATGCCATGTTCCTCAAAACCTGAGATTCCTAGATTTTCAAAACCTGAAACTCTAACTTTTTCAAAGCTTGAGACTCCAAGTTCCCCAAAGTCGGAGACCCCTACTTTCTCAAAGCCTGAAATCCCAAATTCTCCAAATCCCGAGACCCCAAGTTCCCCTAAGCCTGTGACCCCTAGATTTTCAAAACCCAAAACTCCTAGCTTCTCAAAGCCCGAGACTCTTAGCTTTTCAAAATCTGAGACCCCAAGTTTCTCAAGACCCGAGAGTCTAAGTTTCTCAAAGCCTGAGACCCTAAGTTCCTTGAAGCCCGAGGCTCCAAGTTCTTTAACGCCCGAGACACCAAGTTTCTCAAAACCTGTGATCCTAGTTTCTCAAAGCCTGAGACTCCAAGTTCTCCAAAGCCTGAGATTCGAAGTTTTGCAAAGCCCGAGACCCCTAGTTTCTCAAAGCCCGAGACTCCTAGTTTCTTAAAACCCAAGACTCCAAGTTCCCCAAAGCCTGAGACCCCTAGTTTTTCAAAACCCGAGACCCCTAGTTCTCCAAATCTTAAGGCTCCAAGTTCTCCAAAGTCACAGGCCCCTAGTTTCTCAAAGCCTGAAACTTCTAGTTTCTCAAAGAAGCCCGAGACGTCAAAGTTCCTCTAAGCCTGAGACTCCTAATTTATTAAAACCCGAGACTTCAAGTTCTCTAAAGCCCAAGGCTCCTACTTTTTTAAAACCTGAGACCCCAAGTTCTCCAAAGCCCAAGACTCCAAGTTTCTCAACGCCCCGAGACTCCTACTTTCTCAAAGCCCGAGACCCCAAGTTCCTCAAAATCTGAGACTCCAAGTTTCTCAAAGCCCAAGACCCCTAGCTCTTTTAAGCCTGAGACTCCTAGCTTTTCAAAGCCCGAGACACCAAGTTCTCCAAAGTTCGAGACTCCTAGTTCCCAAAAGCCCGAGACTCCAAGTTCTCCAAAGACCGAGAATCCAAGTTCCCCAAAGACCAAAACTCCAAATTTCCCAAAGCCTGAGACCCCAAGTTCCCTAAAGCCCAATACACTTAGTTTCCCAAAGCTTGATACCCCAAGTTTCTCAAAACCCAAGACCCCAAGTTCTGAGACCTCGAGTTTTCCAAAACCTGAAACTACTAGTTCCCAAAAGCCTGAGACGCCGAATTCCCCAAAGTTTGGTACGCCAAGTTTGCCTAAGTTTGAGATGCCAAGTTATCCAAATTTCGAGACTATTAGTTTCTCAAAACCTGAGACCTCTAATTCCTCAAAGCATAAGATTCCAACAACCCCAGAACTCAAGACTCCTAGTGTCTCCATGCCTGAAATACCAAGTGTTCCAAAGCGTGAGCTACCAACCACCCCAAAGCCTGAGATCCCAACTTTTACAAAGCCTGAATTACCAGTTGTTTCAAATCCTGAGATTCTAAGTGTGATAAAGACAAAAAATCCAAAACTTTCTAAATGAACATTGTCAACTTCTCCATGAGAAACTATGATGTTATTCATGTGGCATGACTTGTGCTAGCTAACAGACGAATTAGATCGCATATGAATGAGTTGACAATGGGTTAGATGCGAATGGATAAAATATTTGACTCATCGATATTTTATGTGAATAAAAATAGGTTGAATGATGGATGATATTATAATATCCACTTATTATCTACTCATAAATTGTACAAAATTGAAATTATCTATCAAATAAAGTGAAGCACTTTCTTTTTCTTTAATTTTTTTATTTTGATAAGCCAATTTACATTGCTTTTCACTTTGTTAGATGTTTATTTTTTCTTAGTCAATATATTACATATTAATTATATTTATATATAGAAGCTACAGTTTCTAACTTTTGGTAGGAAGTTTTTTTACGCTAAAACCGTAGATGCTAAAATTAGAGATCATTGAATTAAGGAAAAATGGTCTAAAATATATCCGAACTTTCACCGAAATTGCAGTAACGATACCAAACTTTGGGAAGGACCTTTTACCCCCCTACACTATTTAATAGTGTATTTTAAAGGTATATATATGCCCACGTGGACATCAATAATTATTGCATAATTATAAATAATAACGTGTCCACGTGGGCACATATATACCTTTTAAACTACACTATTAAATAGTGCAGTGGGGTAAAAGGTCATCCATAAAGTTTGGTATCGTAACAACAATTTCGGCCAAAGTTGGAGTATTTTTCATACCCTTTTCCCTTGAATTAAACTAGAAAAGGTTACGGTATATATACTTTTATAATTTGGTATTCAGTTACTTTGAAACAAAATAATACGCACATAGTGGCAACAAAAAACTAGTGGAATTTTGAGTTATATATACATATATATTAGGTAATTACCCACATGATGACTTTATTAAGCTTTATTATTAATTCTCAACTAATATCCGAATAATAGAAATAACTTAAAGGTCGTTGCAATATTTTTGAACATAAATACAGAGATTCGACATTATCACATATCTCAAACGTCTATGATGAATGATTGCAAATATCGTACTTTTTGAACAATTTTCTCTTCTAATGCACATTTGTTTTCTGATTGTAACATTTTTTCCTTTATTTAATGTGTTCTCAATATTGCATGATCTATTAAAAATTAATTTAGCAAGTAAATTTATTTCAAATTCATTCTAAAAGTAACAACTAATTATGTTAAAAATTAATGCAATAACGAAAACAACATTATTTGGCTACTCTTCCTTATCAGTTTTCTTTAATAATTTATAGTAATAGTAACCACTTTCTTCCATCACATTTCAAGAGTATGATTTAAAGGATCAATTATCATATTTTAAAGTGCCAATTAAATATTTTTTTCCATAAATACACCTCAATAGAGTGTTGTACTTGTTATATGAATTTACAATGTAGTTATATTTTTCTTATGCCATTTCTTTAGATTGTACTAGTCTTTTTTTTTCTCATCAGGTGCCAAATATCTATTTTTAGAGATGGATCTAGGATTTATGTTTGTTGGTTCAATTTTTAAGATTCTTAATATTAAACCTATTTGATTTGTAAATTATAAGTATGAGTTCAGGCTAATTTTGGTAGCTAGTCTTACTGTCACTATTGTTCCATACAAAGCCTAATTTTGTTTGCAATCAATATAAATATTGTTTATTTGTTCCAAGTTATAATCAACTTTTTATTTCTTTTAAGTGGGACATCCCAAATGTTATCATATTTTACAAAACATATTATTATTATTTTGTTGATAGTTGATTATAACTTTTAAGTATATTCATATAATGTAATGTTTTCTCCATCAAATTATATTATCAATCATTATTTTAATATTTTTAGTAATAATATAAATACTTAAATCAAGTAAACATCAAGACGCGATATTCAATCAAACAATGCCTTATAAATAAGACTAAGAAAGTTTATATGTTGAGTTTTAAAGATATTTAGTGAAACGTGTAATGATTTTAGCTATTACAAGGAGAAATCAACATTGTCATTCTTATCATGATAGAATGATATGCATGACAAGTGTTTGATTAAGATATGACGGGTCTCTCCTTATACCCACTTTTTATTTTTATTTTATTCAAAGAGAAAAGCTAGAAATAAAGAAAGGACATAACTAAAAGACATTGTGATTGATAATTTAAAGGTGATTAGTAAATAGTTTAACAATTGTTTGCTTCGTTAATAATCTCAGATAAGCTAGTAAATCTGAGCATTCCTTTATTCTAGCGATATTCAAGATACTATAATATTGCTATCACAATACAAATTCTAGATACTATAATATTGGCAGATAAATAAGATAACTAACGCATCACATTTTGAAATCCTCCCTTTTACATGCCTTTAAAAATCTATATATAGCTAAATGGAAAACAATTGAAATATCAAAATTTTATTTGCTCTTACCACATTTTTCTCTAAGCTTCTTACCCGGCATTACAACTTGTCCTCCATCTTATTGTTTGCTTTTATCTACTTTATGAATGACCACATGATAACTACTATAACGGCACGTTGCCTTCTTCACGCACAAATTTTTGGTCAAACTTAAACTGTTTAACTTTCGGAAAATAAAAAGTGCCACGTAAATTGGGACAGAGGAAATATTTTTTATGGTTTCATTTTTATGGTTTTTAGGAAAACATAAAATATGATTTAATTTATACTTTTTATTATTACAATCAAGAACATTCAATCATATCAAACAAGTATACTTTTTAATCTGATATGTAAGCAGAACCTTTATCGATGTCGCTCATTAATTATCAATCAAACACAAGACCCAAAATTCAATCAACTACAATGTAGTAACCCTCCAGGTTATTTTATCTTTATTGCATTTTTTTGGTGTTTAGAGCGTTGAGATTGACAGTTTGGTCACCTGGTTGTTCGTTTGGTTTTTGTGCAAGTTTCTGTGTTTTGGAGCTTTTGAAACTTGAATAGTTGACTTCGGTCAAAACATCTGGTCGACGACCTCAAAACACAATTTTGACGGCTCTGTTAGCTCCAAAACATCGAGTTTGGTCAGAAGAACCTTCGGAGCAGATCCTAAGACTTTTGGGCTCATTTTGAATTACCTTATGGAATTTGACTTGAAACGGAGGTAATTGGGTGTGGGACCCATTTTTCATTGATAACATCTCGGTTGGAAGTTTTGACATCTCTTTTGAGTCTGGAATGTCGAATTTGGTGGGGTAGAATAGTTCATTTGTGTGCATGAGATTTTGAATGAATCTCGAGCACCCCATCAGGGAATTTGTGAACTTGAGTTCTAGCTGATGCATCAACATATGGTGTCGGTAAAATCCTTCATCACCATCGCGATGAAACCTCCGCGATTGTGGTGGGCATTGCACCTTACCTCGCGATCGCGTGGCCTCCTGTCTGCGATCGTGATGGACTATTCATAAGGTTGACCATTTTTGTAAGATCAATTGCAAAGTTTGACCTCCACAATCGAGGTGGTCATTTTATCTGGAGGGTCTCAATTGCAGCCACGTACTTCGCGTAACATTGATTATTTCATCTTTTGGTTTATATTTCAAATTTGATTTTTGTGACCTATGGAGCTCTAGTTTGGCTTCTTTTCATTGCGTGTTGTCGGAATATCGGGATTGTCGGGGATGCATGGAAAGATTGTTTTGCATGTAATTGTGAGAATAATTCTTATAATTATGGCCCAAGTTTACTTGCAACCCAAGTAATACCATAAATAATATTTAATGAATAATAGATCTCGTCTATACATTGTTATTTGATGGACGTACCAGATTAAGTCTTAACCTCTATAAATTGGTCCTCCCTCCACCTATTAGGGTTACCACATATTCTCTTCATTAATTCCATCGCTGACGGTTGTGATAACGTAAGGCTAGGGCAAGGTGGTAGAAACCAATTTACGACTAACGCTTTCGCTTTTATTTGTGATGATGTCTTCCGCATCAGGTATGTGCCCCTAATGATCTCTACGTAAGATTATCGTGTTCAAGATCCTGATATTGTGAATTAAAATATTTAATCTTACATGTGGCATCGGAGCCTGGATTGTTTGAATCGATAATCTTCGTATAAGAAACATTCAATATTTATGATGTACTGCTTATCGCATGCTCCACGTCAATACTTACTATCAATGTTCCAATAATATCTATCTAAGATGATGTAAGAGACTAACATAATGTCACCTGCAAACTTGCACAAATTTTGTTGTTACATTAATGAGAACAAAGTAAAAACAATACATAAGAAACTCACTTCTTTTAAAGGACGTGTACATTGAGGTTAATTAAAAAAAAATCTTTTTAAGATCTTCTTCAATATACATGTCTTGTTACAGTATTGTTTTGTATTGGTGGGCACTAACTCTGTGATGAGCCTTCTTCCTAGTTTCTTATGGTTTAAGTTTCTCTAATGTAATAATTATGTTTTGTTTTAGATTGTGCAATAAATTAAAGTGGTTGTTATACTAAGCAATAAATATTATGTGTGGACTTAGTGCAAAATAGTTTGTTAGTCACCAAAGCGGCCAAACTAGAAAAATTAACGTCTACACATATAATATTTATGATCACTTGAAGCATGTATTATGTTTCTATAGTTTGTTAGTCACCAAAGTGGCCAAACTAAAATGTGTAAAATTATTCACATGCACAAAATTTTATGATATTATGTATGTATTATGTTTCTATAGTTTGTTAGTCACCGAAGTGGCCAAACTAGAAAAAAATATCGTCTACACATATAATATTTATGATCACTTGATGCATATATTATGTTTCTATAGTTTGTTAGTCACCAAAGTGGCCAAACTAAAATATATAAAAAATTTCACATGCACAAAAATTTTATGATATTATGTGTGTATTTGTATTCATATAGCTTGTTAGTCACCAAAGTGACCAAACTAGTATGGTTAAGAAAAATATGCATTCATAAAATTGTCATTTATCTATGAAGATTAATTAAATGCCTATATTGAAAAATAAATAGATAAATTGACTTTCACTATTGCTAGAACTTAAGAATTTACCCAAAGGTGAATCTATCATTCTACGAATAGTGAAAATTATGAGGTAAATTAATATTTTTTAGTCAAATATATATTGTATATCCAAAGATGTCGTATGTGTTTGATTAAAAATATTCAATTACCTATTAAAGATAAAAAAAAAATGGCATTTAAATTAGGATAATGTGTCGTAGTATCTACCCAAAGGATAATTACGATATATTTTTTATCGCTTTACTGAATTCACATTATTTTCTGATTTGTGAGCATGTATATCTATTTTGCAGTTATTCCTCTTCATTCACATTCTTCATCTGTTACTGTGTTCAATGGATTGAACATCTCTGAATGGCATGAACAAGTCCAGTGTCACTTAGGTGTGATGGATTTTGACTTGGCTCTGCTGAATGACAAACCTACTGCCATTACTGATAAGAGCAGTGAGGATGAGAAGTCTTTTCATAAATCATGGGAACGCTCTAACACATTAAGCCTTATGTTTATGCGAATGACTGTTGCTAACAACATTAATAGTACTATTCCACAAACAGAAAGCGGTAGGGAATACCTGAAGTTTGTGAATGAACGTTTTCGTTCTGCTGATAAGTCTCTCGCTGGTACACTAATGGCTGAACTCATGATCATGAAGTTTGATGGGTCGCATAGTATGCAAAATCATATCATCGAGATGACTAACATTACATTAAGACTTCGGACCTTGGGGATGAAAGTGGATGACACCTTCTTAGTTCAGTTTATTCTGAACTCGTTGCCTCTTGAGTATGGACCATTCCAAATTAACTATAACACTATTAAGGATAAGTGGGATGTTATTGAATTGTCCGGCATGCTTATTCAAGAGGAGTCAAGACTTAAGAAACAAGGAGGTCATTCCATTAACCTCATGGGTCAAGGAGCTGGTAAAGGACTTAAAGTGAAGGCCAATAAGTTTAAGAAAAAAAAAAGCACCTGCTAAAGTTCCACAGGATGCTCATAAGGAACTCAAGACTGATGTGTGTCATTTTTGTAAAAAGGAAGGACACTATTAGAAAGATTCTAGAAATGTAAAGCTTGGTTTGAAAAGAAAGGTACATTTATTGCTTTTGTATGTTTCGAATCAAATTTAGTAGAAGTTCCTAATAATACTTGGTGGCTTGATTCTGGTGCAACTACTCATGTATCCATTATGTTGTAGGGATTCACTATGATCCAAACAACAAATCCAAATAAGGATTTCTTGTTCATGGGAAATCGCATGAAGGCTCAAATTGAAGGCATAGAGACTTATCGATTGATCTTGGAGACTGAACATCACCTTGATCTATTACAGACTCTTTATGTTCCTTCAGTTTCTAAGAATATGATTTCTCTTTCAAGACTTGATGTTTCTGGATTTGATTTTAAGTTTGGACATGGATGTTTCAATTTATATAAGAATACTATTTTTTATGGTTTTGGTGTTCTTATTAATGATTTATATAGATTGAAACTTGATAATAATTTTTCTAAATCCCTCCTTACTATTCATAAAAATGTTGGAATTAAACGTAGTTCACTAAATGAAAGTTCTGCTTATTTGTGGCATAAATGTTTGGGTTATGTATCCAAAGAATGATTAAAAAGATTAGTAAAGAATGAAATTCTTCCGAATTTGAATTTTGCTGACCTTGATATATGTTTGGATTGCATTAAAGGAAAGCAAACCAAACATACCAAGAAATGTGCCACAAGGAACACTCGACTTCTTGAAATTATACACACTAATATTTGCGGACCCTTTGATGTTCCATCTTTAGGTGGTGAAAAATATTTTATCACCTTTATCGATGATTTTTCACGTTATGGATTTATCTATTTGTTGAAATAAAAATCTCAAGTAGCGGATGCTCTCAAAGTGTAACACCCCACTACTAGAAAGACTTAGAATTAGAAAGAGTCAATTTTGGAATGAAAGAAAATATGGAAATTTGACAAAAATTAAGTCAAGTATGAGTTTTGGGTCAACTTCAAACGACCATAACTCCTAGATAAAGATGATTTATGTGTGCTACAAGATACCGTAGAAAATATTATTGAATTATCTTCCCAACGCCACCAAATTTGCGCAATTTCGAGTTCGTATGAGGGAGATATGCTCATTTGAAGTTGGGCTGTCTAGATAAGGAAAGTCAAAACTGGATTTTAGAAGGGTATTTTGGTCTTTTCACTGCCCTATTAATTAAATTCGTTTTTGGTGATTAAGTTGGGGTCTAAAGTGAATTGGTTCAGTTTACGGTTCATCAAAAAGAGTTGGGGTTTTGAAAGAAGAGAAAAGAGGAGAAAGAGCAAAGATTCATCAATTTCTTGAGAAATTGGGTGCGGATTTCGCCAAGGATTCAATCCTACGAGGTATGTCAGTTCACATAGCGTTGGGTTCGTTCACCCACGCACCAAACATGTTTATTTCAGTATGTTTTTTGTCATAAAAGATTGAGACTTTGATGTTCTTGAATTGTATTCTTGAATTGTTGTCGTTCTTGAATTTGCGATGAGATTGAGGAGTTCTTGAGAGTTTAAGGTCGATTTTAGAGTTGTGTTTGATTAGATTCTTGTGTATATATACTGGATATCTGAATCTAAAGAGGAGTTGAGAAAAAGAATCGAATATAGGCGAATTGGGGTTAGAAAACAAAGAAGGAACAAGTCGGGTAAATCTGGGTACGCAAGTCCGTGTCGCGGACCTGTTCCTCAGGATTGACCAAATTTTCTCTGCATCGCAGAGTGGTCACGGACCGTTCTGCATCAAAATTTATTTTGCAACCAAATAATTAAATGCATCTCCGCGTCGTGGACTTGCTTCCAGGCAGTGATTTCTTGATCGTTTCTCATGTTTAACTATCTAACAACACTCCTAAACATCATGAGATCTTTCCTATCACAAATCACAATCCTTGAATCCATAATTCAATTCAAGGAAAGTTAAGAGTCAAGTCAAGAGAAGTTAAGAGTCAAGTCAAGAGAAGTTAAGAGCCAAGTCAAGAGAAGTTCATAGAGTCTTCCAAAAGTCTTTTACAAATATTTTAACTTTGTTTTAAGACCTGAGTTTTGATTTGAGTAAAGAGTAAAAGATTTGAAGTTCATTTCTTCAAAAGAGTATATCGAGACTATGTATTCCCAAAGAGTTTAAAATGTTTTCACATTTAAATAAGAAAGGAAACTGAGATTTCCAAAAGAGCCTTTGAGCTAGTTTTTTCAATAAATAGTAAATGCTTTCATAATTAAGCAAGAGAGGAAACTTTGAATTCCAAGATAGCCTTTGATCTAAGTTTGAGCAATTATCTCAAAGCACAGAAAGAAGTATGTTTTAAACATAAGAGCTAGTATTATATTTTGGGAGTAGTATTGAGCACCGATACGGGGGAGAGTTCAGACATCTCCTAGACCCCATAAACCACGTAACCATAATGGGTAGAAAAGGGTCATACTTTTTAGATGATTCCTTAGTGCTTTTTAGCATAAACTAGTGGATCCACTTAGTAGTCAGGTTCTATGCCCTAGGCAAGGTAAAGGACGGCCCTGGCAGTGTGAGGCAAAACATTGTATAATCACAATAGCTCTTAAGTGATGGCTATCGATTAGAGAAACTCCCACACCAGTATTTTGTATTCTTATATACACAGAGTTAAGTGTATTTTTATATACATTCAGAGTTTATATTGTATCTTTGCATACATTCATAGTTACTATTATATTTCTAAATACACAGAGTTGTTATCCATGTTTTAAAATCTTTTCTTTATATTGCATTTATTTTATTGCTTTATATTGAAATGAGTTAAGTTGAGTTGAGTTGAGCTCATGTATGTTCTTTAAGTTCCTTTCAAGCTTATGTCTTATTTTATAATTCCCCTCGCATTCTCGTATATTCAATGCTCTGATGCTAGTTGGCCTGCATCCTATTATGATGCAGATTCAGGTAATCAGGATCAATATCCAGCGCATCGTTGATCCAGTTGAGCTTCAGAGTTGTTAGTGAGCCTCCTTGCTTCCGGAGGATCCCCTTTTTCATTACTTTATCAGTTTAGTTCATTAGGATGTTAGGGATCTTGTCCTGACATCCATCTCAATTTTAGAGGAGACAGTTAGTTAGTCATTTGTCTTTACCTTGTTATTGGCTTTTGTTCAGATTTGAGTTACCACTTTGGCTAAGTTAAATATTTATTTCTAAAACATTATGAGTTTAGTTTGAGTCAATTGATTATCTTGAATTTGAGTTCTTTTCTTAATGCTTAAAGTCTTCCGCTGAGTAAGTAATCCAAGCTAAGGGTTCGCTTGGGGCCAACAATGGTTCTCGAGTGCCTGTCCTGCCAGGGTGTAGGCTCGAGGCATGACACAAAGTGTATGTTAATGAGGTTGAAAGACAATTAGATAGGAAAGTGTAAATCATTAGGTCAGATAGAGGTGGTGAATATTATGGAATCAGGACAATGTCCATGTCCATTTGCAAAATTCCTTGAAGAACATGGCATATGTGCACAATATACTATGCCAGGAACAACTCAACAAAATAATGTTGTAGAAAGGCGTAATCGAAACTTATGGATATGGTTAGGAGTATGATGAGTAATTCCTCGTTACCCATATCATTGTGGATGTAATCTCTTAAAACCGCTGTATATTTATTAAACATGATTCCTAATAAGGTTGTTCCAAAGACCTCTTTTGAATTGTGGACTGGAAGGAAGCCTAGTTTAAGACACCTGCATGTTTGGGGTTGTCAAGTGGAAGCTAGAGTTTATAATCCACATGAAAAGAAATTAGATTCTCAAACGGTAAGTGGTTACTTTATTGGTTATCCAGAGAAATCTAAAGGGTATAGGTTTTACTGTCCAAATCATAGTTCGAGAATTGTTGAAACTGGTAATGCATAATTCATTGAGAATGGTGAAGTTAGTGGGAGTGTTGAATGACAAAGTGTGGAAATTAATGAGGTAAGGGTAAATATTTCATTGCCCATGAATGTACCTACTTCCACAACAATAACAAATATTGTTCCTCTTGTTGAAGAACACTTTAACAATGTTGAACAACATTTGAATGGAACACTTCAAGAAGGAACTAACTCACAAGTATCTGACACAAATTAACCACAAACAGTGCCATTACGAAAATCTCAAAGAGAAAGAAAATCTGCCATTTCAGATGATTGCGTGAATTATTTGCAAGAGTCAGATTATGACATTGGAATCAATAAAGATCCGGTTTCATTTTCACAGGCCATAGAAAGCACTGAGTCTGATAAATGGATTGATGTCATGAATGAAGAGTTAAAATCCATGGAATACAACAAAATCTAGGATCTCTTTCAATTACCAGAAAGTTTTAAAAGAATCGAGTGTAGATGGTCTTCAAGACCAAACACGATTTAAATGGTAATATTGAATGATATAAAGCCAGACTTGTTGCCAAATGATACACTCAAAAATGAGACATTGATTATAAAGAGACCTTTTCACCGGCCCCAAAGAAAGACTCATTAAGAATTGTTTTGGCTTTGGTATCTCATTATGATTTAGAGTTGCATCAAATGGATGTGAAAACTGCCTTTCTTAATAGAGACCTCGAGGAGGATGTTTATATGGACCAGCCTGAGGGTTTTGAAATTAAAGGAAAAGATCAAATGGTGTGTAAGCTAAATAAGTCAATATATTGACTCAAACAAGCCTCACAACAATGGTCTATAAAGTTTAATGATACCATAACATCTTTTGGATTTAAGGAGATTACCGTTGATCGGTGTATATACCAAAAGATCAGTGGGAGTAAGATTATATTTTTAGTCATGTATGTTGATGACATTTTACTTGATGCTAATGATTTAGGCATATTGTGTGAGATGAAAGACTTTCTCTCTATGAACTTTAAAATGAAAGATATGGGTGAGACATCCTATGTGATAAAGATAAAATATTATGTGATAGATCACAAGGATTATTG